GCAGCTAAAAGTTTGCTTAAGTAGGATTTAGTTTCTTCGAACCTCTCCAAGGTTAGTGGCATACCACCTTTTGAATTTCTCACTTTCTCTGCGATCTTACGAGGAAAGAATCTTTCAATACTTAATGCAACTATTTGTTCTTTTGCACCACCACTTTGCCCTTTTTCTTACCCGTCCTGGGCAGTGTAAAGGAAAGAGAACTTTATTGTGTTATAATTTAGATCATTGGGACCAAAACAGTGTGCAATTAATGTGGTTTACAGTACTGAAACACTAGCACGCATGTCTTAACTCGAATACACTGCCAAGATTTAATACTGTAATTCTACAACGACTGGACTCAAACTTTTGCCCTCCACTCTACATATTTATATTCTCTCTATGTATAAGGCTAGAGATGCCAATCTTAGAATTTTGAAATTTCCTATGGGTTTTCAAAGCCAGCTTTTGAATTTTCCGAGTACACGAGCCAACGCTTTCCGAGGGCAGATTAATTGTGCCAGCATGAATAATTATATGCGATAATTCGGTATTCATATGTATATTGTCTATTTAGTCGTCAATTTCTTCGATTCTTTTTCCAGGGAAGGATCGTTTATGTACTGTTTTTTTGGAGAGCTTTCGTTCGGGGGTCTCTATTTTTAATCATGGAGTCACCAATGATTAATACTGACTTCGGTTTATCACCTGGCTTGTCTAGATTCTTGTCGAGACCTTGCCCATTTGTTTCATGATCAAGTTTGAACAGGGTCTGTTTCGTTCTAAAAACATTAATAATAACGTATCGTATATTACATCATGCAGGGGCGTAACTAGAACAATAATTGCATGGGAGGGGGGGGGGGTGTTCATATATTCAGTTCTGCCCGACGGATTTCTATTGTAAGCTATTGCGCTATTGCGCTTATAAAAGAAATACATCGGGCAGAACTGAGTACATGAATATTCACCCCCAATTATCATTCTAGTTACGCCATTGCATCATGTGACTCATTTACACTGGCGGTCAAAAAGAACTGCTCCGAAGTTATTTTTTACGACTTAATACAGGAATGCATAAAGTCACTCTTCTGAAACTGTAAATTAAATTAAATATGTCCAATTTTTGTATTTAGTATTTAGTAGGCCCTCTTCTAGCCTTTGCGATGACTTTACACCTGCGAGGCATGCTATCTATCAAGTTCCTTAGGTTATCTTGAGGGAATTCTCTCCAAGCAGTTTGGACACTAGTACTGTCCCATAGTTCATTGCTATTTTTAGGATTTTTCTCTTGAACCATAGTTTTAACATGGTCCCACAGATTCTCTATCGGGTTGAGATCTGGTGATTTTGCTGGCCAGTCCATGACTGTAATTTCCTCATCCTCAAACCAATTCCTTGCTACCCTTGAGGTATACGTATGGTAGGTGGCATTGTCTTGCTGAAATACCCAGCCATTATGCATAGCCAACATGTGAGTTGTGGGAATAAGTGCATTCTCCAAGACAGAAATGTTCCCTGGCCCGTTAAGCCTACCGTTCACCTTAGAGAGACATCCAGTTCCCCTTGAATTGATGCATCCCCATACCATTATTCCGCCACTCCGCCAATTCGATCAGCTTCATTAATGTTCTCAAACATATCTTGTAGCTCTTTTACATAATATACATCCAAAGCAAATCTCTTCATTGGTGGTAATGGTAATTGACTATCATTCTTTGTTAAATCAACTTCTCGTCGAAAACCATGCTGAGATAATAGGTGTTTTATAAACATATGCGGCTGCATGGCAGTTTGTAAAAGGGTTTCTTTTTGTGTAGTGGCAGATGTAAACTCCAAAATTTGCTGAAATTCTGTTAGGTCATGTGAAAATGTAGTTTGTCCTACAGCTTTGTCTCTCATAAACTTTCTCATGATCTGAATACCTGTATAACATAAGGAAATTAATAAGCACATGGAAACCAAAGCCTATCTGTTAGCTGGAGGTTCAAGTTAGCGTGTTATTTCAATCTGAAATGCAAATCTCCTTTGCTTGCGCCACAGTGTTAATTTAAAGCATCACATGACTACTAATTGTTTACAGTGATGAGGAAATCTGCATTTTAGATCAATGCCATGATGACATAATACCTTACATTTTGTGGAAAATTATCTGAGGTTTTATGGAAAACTAAATAGACCCCTCTCAAATAACCCCCCCCCCCCTCTAATAACCCCACCGTCCAAAGGGTTTGAGAAGAGCAAGCCCGGGTTTAACCCTAACACTATCAGGACAGTCGTTATATATTTCACTCTTTCCAACGCCAAACAATTTTACTTGTTAATGTGGGGCCTTTAGTGGTGAAAGCGTTAATCGAGAGAATATGGTAATAATTAAATCAGTTAACAAACAATGCACCATAAAGGTAACACATTGTCAAACTTTACGATGGCCATATCATATTTTGCAACAACAACCCAATAGGAAAAGATCTAGACAACTACAGTGTTCAGTTCAATGGCAGACTACTTTGCATAGGCATAGGAACTAAGGGGAGACTGGGGGGGATCCAGCCCCCAGTTCTCAATGGAAGGTTGAGTCCCCTCTCTTCCCAAAAATGGGCAATTGAGTAAAATTATGACTGAATGTAATGCAGAGGGAGCACTGTATACAGGGAACCTGCTGACCATAATCTAATATGCATTTTTTGTGGCGAGGATGGAGATGCATATTTGGTGTGCACTTGTTCTTTCCATATAAGGTTTCAAACATCTTGCAGAAAGATACCAGATTGCTGTCTGCATCTATACACTCATCTTTTGTAATGATTCGTGAACATAACAGTTGGCAAGCACGTACAAACTTCGTCCACATTAGGTGGTGGTCTTCTGGGGTTATGTCCTTTAAGGCAAACAGGGAAAATATGCAAACCCAATTCTTCAACTGATCTTCAGTGAACCCTGCAAATCCATTACCAATTTTTTTTGGCAAACGTCCAATATTTGATGGAGCTTTTGCCACGTCCACACGTCTTTGTATCTTGTCAAAATCATCATCGCTGATAAGACCAAACTTTATCCATGTTTTAAGAACGTGTTTAGCAGTTCCTAATAGCAAGTTGTGCATTGGATCAATCAACAATGCTGAATAACGTGCTCCAGTTTCAGATGCAACTTTCTTTGCATCAGTTTGGGTCCTTGCAAAACATTCTCTCTCAGCATCAGTACGGTGTTTTTTGTTTGATCTACTGAGCCATTTTTCTCTGTCAAAACCTGAAAAGTCTGCTTTTTCTCCAAAACTGGACCTTGGAAATTCCTTGAAACATTTACTGCAACCTAAACATAAATTCAGACCTCTAAATAGTTCAAGCTTGAGCACTTTGTGCCTAACAAAAGTTAACTTTAGTCATCAAGGGACGCCTCCAGGCAACCATGGGTTTTGATCAAATGAAAGTTTCTTTGAGTTTAAAAGTGTCTGTTGTACTGGGTAGGGAGTCACTATAATCAGGAACAATAATTTCAAAGCAATTTCATCTATCCTCAACCAGAAACTTTGAAGAGTGCAGTACTGCTCAGAAGTATCATCCACTGCCTGAAAGAGAACAAACAGAGCTTCTCGACCGAAGGCCCTTCTCTTGATGGAGGCCCTTACGTCGAAACGTCGAGAAGCTCTGTTTTTCCTCTTTCAGGCAGTGGATGATACTCATTTTATTACAAGATTTTGGGCAACACTGCTACGCTGCTCCTTGGCTATTTTGGTACTGCTCAGAAGTAACTTGACAGTGCGTTCGCGTTCCATTTGTATTCCGAACGCGTCCGGGACGTGTTCCGAACGGTTCCAAAATGCGGTCATATGTTTATGTTTGACAGGTTATACAACGGAGATATTTTTTTCAGAAATGTTTGAGTAAAACACATAGAAAAATAAAATTCCTTCAACTGCCATTTCAGATATTGACGAATGCGTAACATCTCCCCCATATCATTCCAATGCTACGTGCAATAACACAGATGGATCTTATATGTGCACATGTAATACTGGGTATACAGGAGACGGGTTTAACTGCACAGGTTATACAACGGAGATAATTTTTTTCCAGAAATTTTTCAGTAAAAAACAATAAAAAATAAAATTGCTACAACTGCCATTTCAGATGTTGAAGAATGCATAACATCTCCCCCATGTCATTCCAATGCTACGTGCAAAACCAGGGTCAGCAGTTAGCCAACATCAAAGAGAAATATACTCGCCCGCGAAACATAAAGATATTACCCAAAATGCGTTCCAAACGCGTTCCACGGAAACCTGGGAACGCGTGCTGGGGCACTGGTTTGGTGCGTGGTTTGAAAACCGCGTTCCCACTTCGGAAATTCCCCACATTAAGTTAAGACAAATCCACAAGCATCCATTTTAGCCCAAAAGTGGTTATTTCTCCTGCACGTAATACAAAATTTATACAAAATTTACGAAACTCAGAGGACTAATATCTTCCGCGGCATTATACAACATTTAGCGACCAAACATTAAATTTTACTAAGTTTATTATGCTCTTTTCAGCTGTGGTGTTGGTTTTCATCTCTCTTAATTGCCGTTATAAAAATTTAGTCTAAGCTGGAATTGTCCAATGCTTCGCTTGATGGGTTGAGACACTGTGGTTGAGATAAACCATTTGACTGTGGTTTTTTGTCTCGAAAGCTTGTATTGGTGAAATACAGTATGTACATTTGCATATCTATCTGATAGATGATCAATAAATATTTTATCTTCAGGAAAACTAAATGTGTTTCACATCACAGAAAGTCTGTTACATATTAGCCACAATGTCAGTTTGGTAAGGGCATGGGCAACTTGCTTCAATGTATTCTTTATGCTGTACATATAAGTAAAATTCTAAGAGTTTTGGCAAGGATAAATAATTTGACAGCCTATTTATATACTGTATATATGTTTAAGGTTTGGGTAGTGCATTGTTGTCAAATAGAGCAAAATGGGAACATTCTTTCCATTTAAATTGTTTTAAATCTGATTTTCTTTTCTAAAGGATGATGTTCGGTTGCTGCACAACCAGCAAGACCACGAACGGCAATTTAATGGAAGTCAGGGGTATGTGTTTGCACACTCATACAACACATGTTCAGCCAATGTATCAATTATGCACAGCAAATACAGTGTAGAATAGTCATAATCGCCAAGAATTAATAGCTTGACTTTAATATTACTTTCATATTAATTTTCTCAGAGTACCGTATTCTATTTGTAGTTTATTTAATGCCCATTGTGGCATCACTGAGCCTATGGGCAAGACAAAATGTCCTTCCATCATTAGTTATTCAAAGGAAATTATGGCAATATATTTTTTTATTGTTGCCATGAAAAGAAAATTAAAAATGATTCAATAACTTCTTTTATGATTTCTATTTGCGATTGTATATTTCTATTCCCATATCTCTATTCATGCCCAAGTTATTCTATTTCCCATATCTCATCTATTCATGCCCAAGTTATTTCACTTCAAACTTTGTACATTTGGATCAAAGTATTGCAAAATATAACTCATATCTTGATGACATCCCAAGCTGGGTAGACTAGCTGCTAGAAACTGCTTCTGAAATAAGCGGATAAATCATAATTAAGATATTCTTAAATTGTTTAAAAGAGAATGTCTTTAAACTGTTAATTATTATAAGTTTCTGTTCGATAAAGCAGATTAAAAGTTAAAAAATAGACACCTTATTAATTTTAGATAAAAGCTCACTTGCCTGGGACGCTTGTGATGTTATCAGTAGTGCCTTTGCATACATAATTTACGCACACCAATTAGATCGTGGACGAAGTGAATGTTTTAAAGTGAAACAAGACGCCTACTAGGCGTTATGATCGCGTCGTTCACAGCGGCGTAGCCAGCCTAGCTATGCAAATTTTGTGTCGTAAATGTTCTTAATAATGAAAATGAACCATATACCGAACTATAGTCGCATGTTCAAAGCAGGAGAAACACACAACAGCCCATTTTGAAACTGCTCGCTACGCGACGCGATCAATAAGTTCGAAACAAAGAGAGGTATCAAAACTGTTAACAGGAAGTTATTGCAGTTATTGGATAATTTTTGAAGTTCTTTCATTCAGAAGAATAAAAATATGTTGTCATTTTCCTGTAACATCCAAAATTACAAAGTGCATTCACGGTATCTAATATATTTTTATTGCCTCTCCAACATCTGTTTAGTGTGGGTAGTGCTCATTACAATTCAGTTAAAGCTTTTCTCCTTGAAGAATTAGTGAAAGAGAATAGCACACACAGTAAAGCAACTATTTCAGGTAAGTAGATTTACTTATACCTCTCGACAAATATGATGGGTCCACGCAAACGTAACGTTGACAAAAATAAATGCGACGTGCCACGTTTAGCCACAGTTTACAACATTGTAAATCCGCCCGGCGCGTTTTATTGAAACTTCCGTCCATAGTGGAATCATAGAACAGGCTCTCGCCTGTCGGGAACATAGAGGGGACAAGGAACACACGGGTTTGACTGTAAAGTCGCAATTTAACGTATTTCCATTTTTTCGACTGTTCTGACAAGTTTTTGACACAGTCCCTGGCAATTCTATCGGACACTGCCCATGAGTCCTTGCAGCAAGCATTGCATATACTTAGAAATTGCGCGTAGAGGAACTGTGGAAGAGTCAGCTTGAACTGTACGTTTCTATACCGGCGGGCGATATTAATTGATAATTACATCACAACACAAAAAAATAATATTTGGGGCTCGCGAACCCGTTTGCAAAATAATTGGTACAAATATTATTCGAAGGAAATCCTAAAACGCCATTTTATGTTGCAGTGGACACTATACAGGGTGTATCAGAAAAAACTAGAAGATTTTAAAATGTCCAAAAAACTATCATTTTATCAAAATATCTCAAAAATATACTTACGTCTAAGTATTTTAGCATCTTCTGGCTTATCTAACAGTAAAAGCTATCAGAAAAATTAACCTAAAAAAGCTGGAGAACGGTTTGTAAAAGCCTCATTTTTAACCGCTTGCGCAAAGAAAATGAGAGGCTTAAAATCCAAGTTTATTTAAAGAGATGAAAGTTTGGACCCTTTTGTGCAATGTATCAAAATTTCAGGAAATTTGATAAACATTTAGTCTGCCGTGAAACGTTTCAAAATTGGACTTTTTCCCGTTTGCTCCGCTCTCTCGTAACCTTTTTTCATGCAAGAATGATTACATGCATGAGTGATGGTTCGAATGACGTACTTAAGCATAACTAACAATGAATACTCTTGTTTCATTGTTTTATTTAACAAAGAGTTCTGGTAATTACACCTGGAGAATGCAAAAGTAGGGCAGAAGTTTGCATGCAAAGAAATGGAGGACATGTTGAGAACTAACAACAAATTTTGTAAACTCTGCTCTTGTTTGCAATTGTGTACTGTTTGACGTTTTTGCGTAGTTTATTTTTAACAATAGCATTATTAGATACAGCATCAATGTAAGGAGGTATAACAATAGGATTGTAAGGACGTCATTTGAACCATTACTCATGCATGTAATCATTCTTGCATGAAAAAAGGTTACGAGAGAGCGGAGTAAACGGAAAAAAGTCCAATTTTGAAACGTTTCACGGCGGACTTAATGTTTATCAAATTTCCTGAAATTTTAATACATTGCACAAAAGAGTCCAAACTTTCATCTCTTTAAATGAACTTGGGTTTTGAACCTCTCATTTTCTTTGCGCAAGCGGTTAAAAATGAGGCTTTTACAAACCGTTCTCCCGCTTTTTTAGGTTAATTTTTCTGATAGTTTTCCTGTTAGATAATCCAGGAGATGCTAAAATACTTAGACGTAAATATATTTTTGAGATATTTTGATAAAATGATAGTTTTCTGGACATTTTAAAATATTCTAGTTTTTTCTGATACACCCTGTATTATGAATATATTATGTCAATGTATTTTAATTCCCTTTAATTTTCCTGTACTTCAATATAATTGTTACACTTTGTCTAATGTATTAAAATAACTACTAAGTTATTTACGGACCCTGATTTTTCTTGTTAAAAAGAACGTGTAGGAATCCACCTAAATGTTAATACGTGTTTCTTTGTCTACAAGGGGCTATCAGCAGATATTACGAAACAAAACGGGTGCAATTTCTTGATAACCTACCAGAAAGACGAGAAGCGGCAGACAAGAAACAAAGGGACAAAAAGATGACATCTGGGAGAAGAAGAGTGAGTACGTCCTTAGTAATAGCTATTATCATTCACTTTATTATTTGCTCAATTTTGATTGGTTAATTTACCTGCAAATAACTGCTGCAAATAATACGTCAACTGCAAATAATAGGTACAAGCAGTTTATTGACCATGCGCAATTCGTCAAAACGCGATTGAACTGCAAATATTGGTTGTTCATGCGCATTTGAGTCCACTTCGGTCGTTGACTACCGCTCTTTGTTTTTGCAAACATAGCAGTTCAGTCCTGAATTATCCGAAGGTGATTTATACTAACTTATGAAAATTGTATTGTTTTTCCGTTTTAATGAAACGTTGTTGTAAAATAGTTTTTTGTCACTTGCATGTAGTTTATGTATATGAATTCTACAAGTCTTGCCAGTCTTTGCACTTAAATGGCTTCTTAGCGGTGCAAGTGAAAAAAGTTCACAAATAATAAAGTGAATGATAAAACAATTATTGAACTCGGTCATCGCAAAATATCGTGATTTATCAGTGGTTCGCAGATCAATTATTTGCCTCGGCCTTCGGCATCGGCAAATGATTGACCTGCTCACCACTGATAAATCAACATATTTTGCTCAACCTCGTCCAATAATTGTTTAGTATTTCACCAGGTACTTGCAGGAGTCGTAAATGTATCTGCGTAAAATCGGCTTGCTTTATTCTACTGTACAACGATCGAATTCTGATTTCTACAGTGTCATCATTTTTGGATACACTCTACTTTGTGCACAACATATACTTGGTAACTACTTGCTAGAGTTTCTACTAACTGTCGTATTTTTTCCGGGCATCTAGCTTTTTCTGAGCCGATTGAAAATAGCAAATGAAGCAGAAAAGGAACGTATACGCGAAGTTGGTGCATATGCAATGAGTGACGAGGAGGACGGGAAAGGTGCCCAAAACGGTTCTTGGATCGTGCGCTCGGCCGTTTGGAGAAGTCCTGAATTGAATAAGATTATCTGGGAGACTCAGCTTAGGTTAGAAGAGGATGCGTCTTCCAGTCATCCAAAAAACAAGCGAATCAATGGCCCTCCCTCATCTAGAATTCCTCCACCTCATCTACCAAACTGGCCACTCAAAGCAAATTTTCAACCGGGTCGGAAGCAACGCAATTTAGCTATAGGCCTACAGCAAGATGGACGACATTGTGCTGGTAAAGAAATAGCGTCGAAAAGAAAAGTATCCCGGACTAAAAAGGCATCATCCGGTTCCCGCAGAAAGAGTGTTCGCAAAGAAACCACGTCGGCACCACCCGAAGTGAGCAAGGACCCACCAACTACCAGCTGTCAGTCAGAGACAGAAAGCCAGCTAGCACGGTGTATTCAGAGCGATGAAAGTGACCAGGATGACGTTGAAGGAAGCATTGTCGGCGGCGATGAAGAATCCTGCTAACTAGTTTTTCATATACAGTGTCTAAAATGTTTTTGTATCGAGATCGTTATATATCTACTTACAGTTAACCATATATTTAATTTAAAACGGAAACCTGATAGTGTAATAACAGTATTTTATTTATTCACCTGACATTATATAGCCTAGCTACATTTTAGCTAAACAACTTAGAATATTTATGTGTGTTTACTACTGAATGCAGTGCTGACGTTGAAGAAAAAATTCCATCGATAAAGTCCTTGCTTCCTTAATTAGTTTTTTTGCATATATAAATGTACGCGCGTACAGTAATAACTAAACTTTTCCGCAGGCCAATGCAATTTTCTCGTTTCTGGGCTTCTGGCCCGGTGATATCGCGATATTTCGGTATCATGATACTGCATGCATAATATATGCATTGCGATTCGGACAATATCAGTATAATTGATACTTGCGTACACGGCAAGGTTCAAGACCATATCAGCACCATGATACTTACACACACGCGATACTGGACAATGTCGCTATCATGATACTTGCACACACGGCGATACTGTACCCTGCAGCTGCTCATACGCCGCGATATTGGAAAATATCAGTACCGTTATACGTGGGTGCGCGCAATACCAAACAAGATCAGCATCATGATATTCAGTTACTTGCGAAGAATAAGCAAGTATTTTGTATATAGAAACGTGTAGATTCGGGTAGTCTCCAGACCAGTAAATTTCGTGATACGGACACTGTCCGAATCTGGAAAAATACGGATCCGTATATTGTTTGTATACGTTGCATGTCATGTTCAAGACACGTAGGTATTTTACTGCATTTGTGGGGAATCGTGGTACGTATCATCTAATCTCAGCACCATGACACGGGCCTTTTCGCGCAGTGATTTGCTGTTCATAAGCTATTTAATCTTCTCGACTGTTCACAAGACAACCCTGCAACCTATATAATATCGCCTTCGCCCTTCCCTGTATCCAATAATAGCCAAGCCGGCAAAGCTTTAGTCATGGACAATGCAAATTTTTATCGTATATCATTGTTCACTTCTTTAGAAATTGATGAATATATTACAACCATTTCACTGAAAGATTTACATTTGTGCGACCAAATGTCGAGCTGACTTCGCTCTTGGTTTTCAACTTTTATTTCATCAAAGAACAACTCAGTATCTCTGAAAGTCCATTATTCTAGCTTTATTTTCATCAGGAACTGCAATATCAGATCGGGGATAAACATGTGTACATAGCCTCTAAAAGCTTGATCATGAACTGACAGACGATATTGCACATTTTTATGAAAGCAAAATTATTTGCATTCAATAATCTATATTGATTTCATAAACTGGAGCACAGCCAATGCATTATGCAACATATAATTTTTATTATAATTTGCCAGTTTGTGGAAGTAAATAGTTCACGTACCGAAGTTTTTAAAAGCCTGCTATGTAATAATTTATTATAATTATTATTGTCCTAAAACGAGACAAACAATGTCATTAAATACACAGTCATGCATACAAGCGACAGCAAGTTTTGTCACTCTCTTTTTATACAAGGAACTAGTATTTATTAAAATCGACTTCAGCCTTTGCCTGTTTCTGAAAATAGTGTGATTTAGCATGGGCTATGTATTGATATTCCAAGTTATTTATTCGCTATTTATTTTTGCTTTTATTTTTCAATGCTGCGTAAAATAAGGACCAAAAAGCTTTACTCGATTTTCTATTTTAGTTAGCCGCGTGCGTCTTCAACTCATGTATACACCAGCTGTTGTTGCCATAGGCTAAAATGGCAAGCAATAATAATGTTTTGCATGTCAATATATGCACTTCACGCTATCCACTCTTTTTATGTACACATAGAATAATTTTGCTGTATTGTTTATGCCACGCAGGTGTCCTTGTATTCCTTGTTTCCACCTTTTCATATGCAGAAGACAGTTCTCAAGTTCGTACTAAATTTGACCTCCGTCAAACGTGGTTTATCAACTCCTCGTCGTTTTTTGCGAATTAAACAAATGAGTTTAAATGTATGTCATTTTCATTCTTCTCTTCTCGTTAAAAGTTTTACCTGGTTTCTTCACAGCAGAACAAGGCGCGGAAGAACCATCGTCGGTAAAACAGATGTATTTCAAAACAGTGAAAAAACATGGTGAGTAAGATATATCATGCATTGATGATTTATTACAATTGTTTCTCTTGCTTGATGGAAGTTGAATTATGTAGGTTTTCTATCCAAACTCCTGATGATCATCTCAAATTTTTTTTCAAAACTCCTCAAATTCGCGATTCAATGTCATAATGATGTATTGTTGAGTAGAAATATACACACGGTGCAAAGGAAAAAAATAGCACCGCTGCAGAGATAATCCTTTAACTAATCGCAATGTTCATCATATTATGTTCTTTGATGGTTCAAAGAACACTCAGTGGGATATCTACGCGATCGATATATTACTATATGTATGACATTCAGTGCGGATATTTACGAGATTGATATATGATACGTATACTTGTCGTTAAATAAAGGGGGCGTTTTCGCTTACTCATATTGTGTGAGCCAGCAAATTCTATATTTTATACTGATCATGAAAGAATACCCTGTAGGTTATTTTACTCCAATTTTAAAGCAAAATTTCTAACTATTTTTTCCACTCCATATTCTTTAACTATTCGATGTTCTACTTAATAGGATGAAATGTAGACCTTAATTATTCAAATTCACTCACATTTATGTTTTAATTTTATGCCATTTTCACATTTATTTTTCGTTTTATAATAAAGCAAAGCTATTAATGAGCTTTAGCATTTGAAATTTATCAACCATTTTCAAATGCATTTATAATTGCAGAATATATGACGCATAGCAAAATGTTGAGGTATAATAGGTATGCGCGGTGGCATTTATTCAAAAGGTAAAGAGATAATTACTAGATATTTCTGGTAATAGATTATTCCTAGTATACAACAATTACAGTGATGAAGCTAGCAAAATAATTTTGGTGGGGGCATGTGTATTCATAAATTCATGCCGTGCGTGACTAATTCCTTTTGTATGAAATCAATTGTCAATCTGTTTGTATGAAATCGATCATTTCAGTCTGTTAACGTTAAAGCCCTATTTACATAGGGAAGGAATTGTCCATTGTACATAGAGCGGCATTGTACATAGAGCGGCAATAAAATAAATACTGGGTTCAAATACTGGGACTCTGGGAGATCAACGGTCGCTAGAGCATAATTTATTCTGAGCGTGGGAGAGAAATAAAAATCAGCGGGTTGAGTGAGAAATGGTCATATTGATCAACTGTTAGCCCACAACCGTGCCAGCGTGCTGAACCTTTGCCTAGTAATCTTGGAAGTCAAGCAGGAGTAACTTCTATTCCCTTTTCTACTATGGCGCCTACTTTATCTCAATTTTTGGACCAGGAACTGGTCCCTAACCGCTGCTAATCTTGTTGTTGTTATTGTTGTTGTTGTGGTTGTGGTTGTGGTTGTGGTTGTTATTGTTGTTGTTGGTGTTGTTGTTGTTGTTGTTGTTGTTGTTGTTGTTGTTGTTGTTGTTGTTGTTGTTGTTGTTGTTGTTGTTGTTGTTGTTGTTGTTGTTGTTGTTGTTGTTGTTGCTGTTGCTGTTGCTGTTGTTGTTAGGGGGCGACGCTCTTTAAAAAAATCCTAAGGCTCTACCATTACTTGTTTGATCGGAAGGAAACTTGCCACAATTATTCTAAGCAATATTCCCCATCGATTGACGGAGTTTGAATTTTTACTTTCGACCTTTGAAGCAAGTTACAAGCAATTCTTGACTATATTTTCAGCAAATAATATATACATATCATTAATATTTAGCCTATATATAAGTAAACGCAAACGCAAACAAATTAAAAATACATTGTCCTCTCTATTGTTGTAAATACAATGCGGTTCAGAAACTCGACTGGGAGCGGACTTTAATTGAACCAGAAGAAGAGGTGTTATAATATGAAGTACTACTCATAGTTGTGCCTGCAATGAACACCGCTAGACACAATAACATATAATATATAACAACTGTTCGCCAATTGAATTATAGTCCTGTAGTCTTGTAACTTGTACTTAATTATTTTTACCAAGAAATATAACAATGATAAATTCCACTTTAGTTTTGACACAAGCATCATCCCTTTATATTTACCACAATAAATTTTGCAATGATTTTCTGGGCTAGAAAAACGTTAAAAATAAAACAAGAGTAAAAGAACCCTTAACAAACTTTTGGTTGTTCGTAAAAAATTCTTCGAATACTCCAGTAATAGATATTTCCAAAAGTATACACAATCAATGTTAGACATAGTAATCCCACTTGATTTAATCGGCCTTAGGGATTATTGTAATCCCCAGCGAAGTGTAAGTTGTAGTAATCCATGCGAAGGAGTGATAGTTATCCCCTGTAATCCCCTTTGAAAAGTGGTGGTAATCCCCTGTGAATAAAGAGAGTAACCCCCTTGAAGAAGTGAGAGCAACTTCCGGTGCAGAAGTGGTTGTAATCCCTTGTCGAGAAATTGTGGTAATCCCCTGTGAAGAAGTGGTGGTAATCCCGTGTAAATAAGTGGTGGTAATTCGTGTGAAGAAGTTGTGCAGTCACCTATGAAGAAGTGGAGGTAATCCCCCGTTAAGAAGTTATAGTAACCCGCTGTAAAGAAGTGGTAGTAATCCCGTATGAAGAAGTGAGAGAAACCTCTTTGTGGAGAAGTGATAGTAATCCTTCTAAAGAAGTTGTGGTATTCCTTGTGGAGAAGTGGTAGTAATCCCTCTGTGAAGAAGTGTTACTAGTCCCCTGTGAAGAAGTGGAGGTAATCCCTATTAAGAAGTGGTGATAATCCTCTGTGAAGAAGTGCTTGTAATCCCAGTAAAGACGTGGTAGTAATCCCCTCTGAAGCAGTGGCAGAAATCACCTGTGAAGACGTGGTAGTAATCCCCTGTGAAGCAGTGGCAGCAATCACCTGTGAAAACGTGGTAGTAATCCCCTGTGAAGCAGTGGCAGTAATTCCCTCTGAAAAAGTGGTAGTTATCCCAAGACAGTAAAAAAAGGAGGGAAAGTCCTCGGTAAATAAGGGACGATAATTAACTGCACATAAGGAAGCCAGGTAATTCCTTGAAG